CTCTGTCCTGTCTGGAAGGGTCTCTACATAAGACCTATTCTCTCACCCCCAGGAGTGACACAGCCTTTGCCTTGTCATGTGACTAGCCTATATAAAGTAATTTGTGAAGACAATCCTCGACCCCCAACCACACAGGACGCTTAAAATCCTTCAGAACAAAAGGAGTGGTGCCACATATTTAGCACTGGGAATGATGCTCAGTGCAAGACCCAGCATCTGGACCCTGCTGCTGAGAAGAAACAGGTTGATAATCCCAGGTGCCATACTGCCAGTTTTTGACAGTTCAGTTTACAGCTAAGAAGAAAATGAAGCACTTTGTAGTGACATATATCCTATTTCTTCACACTAAAGCTTCTCACCTTATTAGTTTATGAGTCATTAATAGGAAAACTGTTTAACAGCAGAGACCATGATTAACAGGAAGCCACAGACTTAGCAGTGAGAAAAAGCAAAGATAATTTAAAAGGTGGTCTATTTAATTTCTCTTTCCATAAATCATTTCAGAAAAAAATGTTGCTTGCAAGGAAATGAGCTCTTTTATTTAATGTGTAAGAGATAATTTTAAAAGTTTGCTCGAAAGGGTCAGGGAATAGCTTAATAGTGGAATGCTTGCCTAGTAAACACAGGCCCGGGCTTTGAACCCCATCATTGGAAAACAAGTTTGCTGTACTTGGCTGTATGGGTCTTTGAACCTTAGAGTTCTTACGTAATTATGTTTCCATTTGCTCTTTTTGACACCTTAAATGGGAAGGTAAAGCAGGCATTTGCAAATCTATGCAGACAGAAGTAAGGTATGTAGTGCAGGGAAAGTAAAAGAGCCTTTATGACCTTGGAGAAAGCTCTAGCCAAGGATCCTTTGACAGCATGAGCATGTATTTGCCACCATCTAGTAAATGCACATGTGATGAAAATGTAGACTGTTCTATAATGAATGTTTTCAATCTTCTTTGGGAATAGTGCCAAATCTGAATTTGTCTGAGAAATAAATATAATCTCCCCAGGCAATTCAGGAACTTAAGAACCAGAACAATAGCTTTGATTTTCTAGTAGCACTACGGGCTACTGATTTTTCTTCAAAAAGGCCAGTTGGAATGCAAAGAGCTCTTCTGCCCATGTCAAAGCTATTATGATAACTAATTCTTACCCATGGCTTCCCAGAAATAGTCACAGATTCAGTTCTTTCTGTCTTAGAATAATTTACAGTCTTGGCATAGACACACAGGGTTTAAGTAACTTTACATTTATCTGATTTGCTGATGTTAGATACTTGGAAGAGTCCTTGGGCAAGGAAAGGCAGGGTTCATCTGTAGACCCTTACATGTTGTCACAAAAGACGTGAATAAAAACCAGGGCACTCATTCTTACAAATGTCTCTAATTTGGGAATGAAAACTGTATTAGAATATTTAATTCTCTAGTATTAACTTTGGGATTTTTCTTAGAATGTAATTATGATGGAGTGGGAGGGGCAATGTTAAAGGTAGAGTGAGGAAGATTTTAATGGATAACGTGGGTGATACACATAAATCTTTGCGAAAAAGAGGGAGAAGGAAAGTAAATGGCTCCATTGAATCTCATACGGCCTTGTGGAATCAGTCGGTGGATGAGGAGGAAAATGATTGCCCGGTGTCCCACGCTACTGTTCAGATTGTCCACATTTAAGGTAAGATGGAACTTAATGTGAGGATTCTCCTGCAGAGGGTGAAATGCTCGAGTGTTGCTTGTCTGTGACCTATTCTGTGGTATGTAAGGGAGACAGCATTCTAGGATCACCAAACGCCTTTGGATGATAAGAAGATTTACAAACGGAAGCATCTAAAAGTTAAGTCTAGAGCGAGTGAGATGGCTCAGCCGGCGAAAGCGCTTAAAGTTTAAGTCTGAGGATCTGAATTCAATCCCAGGATCCCACAGCTTTGGAAGTTGAGAACAAACCCCTGGAATTTGTACTCTGACTTCTAGATCAGTCAAGAAATACAAATCTTAAAGCGAGGACTTCCTTTAAGAACCACGAATCAGTATTGCAATTGCAAATCTCACATGACTTGCCTCCTGCCGAGTCCCGAGCATGGGAGACAGGAGCCATGCACTGGAATGCAAGGTGAGCAACACCAGAGAATGCACTGCTCTGCTGGTGCATGCCTCTACCCGGCCGTTTCCAAGGTAATTGGTGCATCTCTCTACCCTACCTTTCCAAGGTAAGTGGTGCATCTCTCTACCCGGCCGTTTCCAAGGTAATTGGTGCATCTCTCTACCCTACCTTTCCAAGGTAAGTGGTGCATCTCTCTACCCGGCCGTTTCCAAGGTAATTGGTGAGTCTCTCTACCCTGCCGTTTCCAAGGTAAGTGGGTTCAGACAGAGTCAAGTCAAAGAGCTTCTCTAGGCTCGGGCCCATTTGGGTTTGTTTATTTATTTATGTTACATCCCGACTTCAGTCCCTCCCACTTAGTGATCCTCCCTCTGCCTCCTCTACCCACACTCCTCCTCTGGGAGGCAGTGTGTGTCAAGGATGGGCTCACTCTAGTGGCTTGGGTCTCAGGGGGAACCAGTCATCGGTTGCTAGGCTCCATTTTGTATCTCCTCCTTGAGTTCAGTTTAGAAGGTAAGTCCTTTTGTACTTGGGAATTCTAACGATTTTCTTTCTGTCTCTCCGAACTTTGAGACAGGAGGCTGATAATCATAAAAGACATTACACCAGGCAGTGAGTCAAATACCACAAGATGGAGAAGACAGAAGACAAAGCAAAAGCAGAGTGATTTATTCAGTACAGCAGTTTCCCAGCTGTCAGTCTGGGGTCCATGTGCTTCTATTCACTCATGTGGGTTTTCCCAGCCTGGTCTTGACCCCTTTTCTCATCACTCCTCCCTCTCTACAACTGGATTCCAGAGTTCAGCTCAGTGTTTAGCTGTGGGTGTCTGCTTCTGCTTCTGCTTCCATCAGCTGCTGGATTATATGCTAGATGGCATATAAGGTAGTCATCAAACTCCTTATAGGAGAAGAGCATTTAAGGTCTCCACTATTGCTTAGATTCTTAGTTGGGGTCATCCTTGTGGATCTCTGGACATTTCCCTAGTGCCAGATTTCTCTTTAAACCTGTGATGGCTCCCTCTATTAAGATATCTCTTTTCTTTATGTGAGTAAGTATTCTCCTTGCATGCGGTTGTATATGCATTGTGCATGTACCTAGTTCCTTCAGAGACTGGACAAGAGCATCTGTGTCCCCTGCAACTGGAGTTATATATAGTTGTGAGCTGTGCTGGGGGTTCTGGGATCTGAACCAGGTCCTCTGCAAGAGTAGTCAGTGCTCTTACCTGCTGAGTCATCTCTTCAGCCTCAACTTCTTTTCTATAGGCTTTTGGTGTTTACTAATTCACCCAGTAATCAACTGTGCAATTATCACATATGCTTTTTTCAAATTTTATCATAAAGTATGAATGTCTGACAAATAGAAAAATATTTCCGGTAACTTGATGTTGTAGGGGAGATAAACCAAAGTAGACATGTTTGCTTTCAAAACATTTTAGTGGAAAATTTACACACACACACTCTCACACACACACTCTCACTCACACACACTCACACAACACTCACACACACACTCTCTCACACACATACACAGACACTCCACACACACACACATGAGTAAACGGACCATGACTGCTGTAATATAGTCCAAATGTCCAACTTTGGTCAGGAAAATGGATAGATTTTTCTCTAGAGATGTTATGGTTAATAGGGACAGGAGCAATCTCCTCGCAACCTAGTGGGAAGTTATGAGACACCTCTTCCAGTTTCTCAGTTGGCACCACTGGATTCTCAGCAAAAGTCTTCAGCATCAAGACTTGTTTGATCTTTGTATAAGATTTATTCATCTGTCTTTAGGAAAAAAAACATCAGAAATCCATGTTTTATTTGACAGGCATAGTTGCATATACCTGTAATCCCAGTGCGCCAGACACTGAGGCAAGAGGATGCTACATTCAAGACCACCCAGGGCTATGTATAGTGGGCTCCAGGCCAGCAGCTCTTTAGAGGTTGGGTGGAGACTTCGCAAGGTTTCCCCACTCATACTGGCATGCCAACTGGTGCTGTCATTGTGTAAGTCTTGTTTAGGTGACCAGGTTGCTAAGATTTCATGGATGTTCATACAGATGGGGAAATTGAAACATCACCCTTGTCGTTACATCGTTACAGTCTAGCACTTCAATCAATATGAAAGGAACAGGATACACAACAATTTCCATTCTGTGTGTACACAGTTTTCGTTGAAAAGCAGCATTAGTGTTTCCACTCTGACAGTGTGAAATGCTTCAAAGCACACAACTTTCTAAAGCACAGATAAATGGAAAATTCTAAACATGACCTCACGTGACAGGACTCAATTAAAACCCACATGCATTAAGACATTGCATCAAATTGTCTTCAGGTTAAATTGATGGGGTCTGTGTGAGATGAAAACAAATCTAGCGAAAGGAGTTTGTGCTTAGATACCATCTCCAAGGTATCTCATGCAAATGCAATTGCTTATGTAAATACTCAAATCTCAAAATTATCAAAGTCTAAATGCTTCTTGTCTCGGCATTTTTGCATATGGGATATCCAGCTTGATCTGTGAATGGGGATAAAATGAACATGTGTGTAGGATGCTAAGGTCAGGAGCATAGACAACGAGGATGGCTACACTATCCTTCAGTGGTGGCCACTCACACTAGCCTTTGAATTTAGAAGTCCGATATGTTATCCACTGGACCACAAAGCCACTTCTAATGGACTTTGAATTTATAGTAGTGCAATGCAAGAAGAAATAGATGTACTTGGCAGAAGATAAAGTATTATTATGTGAAGATAGTAGGACAATAATACACATATAGTAGAAAATTTTCTGAGTATTAAAAATAACCAATGTAATTCAATAAAAGGATTGGACATAAATCATAAATATATTAAATTACCATCTAAAATAAACAAATCAAATAGGGACAAAATTCTTCCTCATCAATAATAACAAAGATCATAAAATATTTCATGAGTTTTACAAGATAACATGAAAAGAACTACGAATCTTTATTTGATAACATAAAGTAATGGTTGAAACAGGGGAGTATTTTGTCAGGTTCAGAATAAGAGAACCAAAAATGTGTCTTACACTCATCAGTTCTCCTCAACTAGTTTGTAGATTTATGGCAATTCAAATATGTCCACAACCTGAAAAAATAATTAATAATTCAATAAAGCATGTATGCTAGGCAAACAACTTACTTTAATCATTGCCTAATTATGTTATAATATTACATAAGTTGCAGCAATCAGAGTTTGTGTAAGAAATGCTTGCCTTTTCAAAGAAATTAGAGTTTCGCCTGAAACATAACAGTATGTCTACGTGTGGGCATGGGCACAACAACTGCTTGTGTCCAGATAACCCAGAAGAAATAATCAGATCTCCTAGAGCTGGAGTTAAAGATGGTCATGAGCCACCTGATGTAGGTACTGAGAACCAAATTCAAGTCCTCTGCAAGAGTAGAAAGCATTCCTAACTGTGGAACCATTTCTTCAGCCCAGAAATTTTAACATACTAATAAATCTAATGTATTGCATAATAAATACTCAAATAATAAATTGAACAAAAGATATTAAAAGTTTGATTATAATTTCATATTACAGAATGAAGTAATTAAAAATGTAACCGCAGAGTTGGAAGGACCTGAGCTTTGATCCTCAGAACCTATATCAAAACTGGGTACAGTACCTGCATCTGCAATTCCAGAGCTGGGGAGGCAGAGGGAGGCAGACATTGGGGGTTATCTAGGCAGCCAGTCTAGAAAAAATACGGAGGAGGAGGAGACTTAGCTCACTAAGAGACCTTCTCTCAAAAGATAAGGTGAACAATAGAAGGCAACTTCTTCCCTCACTGTCATGCACACACACACACACACACACACACACACACACACACACGCAAACATAAATAAATAGATAAACAAACTCTGAACAACTGGACTCTTTTATTGATAAGCTATGAACTGTTATTGAGTTGGGAATTTATATCCTAAATACAAAACAGTAGAAAATCTTTTAAAATTATTTTAAGATTATAATTTAATTACAGTATTTCTCCCTTTCCTTTCTTCCTTCCAAATTCTCTCATATACTCCTCTCTACTGCTGTAACACAGAGAAAACCCTGTCTCAAACTGCCTTGCCCCAAAAAACTGTAGAGGAACTGTTTAGATAGATGAAGGGGACCGGGAAGTGGGGGCTGATGTGGGGTAATGCTCTTATACACTGTAAAGATTTGTCACTCATATTGGTTTCATAAAATGCTGGTTGGCCAATAGCCAGGTGGAAGTATAGGCAGGGCTATCAGTCTAGGAGAATTCTGGGAAAGGAATCAGAGAGGAGTAATGCCAGCCAGACACCGAGAAAGCAAGATGAGAATGCCTTACTGAGAGAAGGTACCAAGCCAAGTGGCTAAGCACAGATAAGAATTGTGAGTTAATTTAAGTTGTAAAAGTTTGTTAGTAAGAAGCCTGAGCAACAGGCCAAACTCCATGTTTACTTGGGACTAAAGGGCTTCAGGACTAGGTGGGACAGAAACTTCTGTGTACATGGGCAGAGGGATTGGGGAGGACAATGGGAGAGAGAATTTAATTAGAAGAAACTGTAGAGACACATGCATTATAAAATGCCATTACTGTATTGCTAACTTAAAAAGATTAATAAGATGTTATATGTTTAAAATCAATTAAAACAAAACACCTCTAACAAGTTGGGAGGTGTTATTTGGGGAGCTATACAAATATATTTTTAAGATTTATATCTCTGCGAACCCCCCCAAAAAGAACATGATGGGCAAGGAATCTCAACAGAGATCTCAAAGGACAATACATACCCAGAAAACACTTACCTATATTAATATTTCAGGAAGAGTCGTATGGTATTTTCTGCTATCAATCATGGGTTAAAGATTCTGGACTGGACGCAGTGCTGGCTCCGGCTTAGAAGGTGCAGTAATGTGCAGCTGTTCTAGATGTTCTCACATGCGGCCCTGTAGCAAGGGAAGGCAACACTGCCTAAGCGCAAAAGACCTTAGTCACGTGAGGCGTGTGCTCCAAAAGGGTTCACGTGTCCTCTAATAATTAGCATTCAAAGAAACAACAGAATAATCAGTTAAAAACACTAACCAAGATTTAGGTATAAACATATGCAATCAGAACAACAAAAAAAAGCAAACAGCTAAAATGTGCAACAATAGAGAACTGATTAGATACTCTATTTATATGATAATGTCCTTTCTCATGAGTAAATTTGTTTTTGAAGAATATTTAACTACATGGATACTGCTCACAAAATTTTAAGTAGAGGTACGTCTTTAGAGAAGATTAAATGCACAATACAACACTTTGAAAGTGTATTAAAATGTATCTTTCAGTGTGTGTGTGTGTGTGTGTGTGTGCATCTATGTGAATGCACAAACGTGCAACCCCTGTGTGCACATATGGAAGCTGGAGAGAGATGGCAGATGTCTTCCTCTATTGCTTTCTGTCTTATTGCCTCATGAACAGGAAGCTTGCTGTTTCATCAAGGCCAGTGGGCCAGAGAAACCAAAGATGTGCTTGTCTGGCCCCACCATAAACCCACTTCTAGGGTGCCAGGCAAGCACAGCCATGATGCTTTTAGTGCTGGGATTCTAACTGAAGTCTTCATGCTTGCACAGCAGGTGTTCTTTCTACCAAGCCATCTCTGCAGCCTCCATATTACATGTCATATAGTTGGACATATGCACAGGAATAATGGAACATGCTAAGTAATACTCACTTCTAAATAGCATGACTAGGAACATTATATTGATCTCTACTTTGGACGTACTTAACTTTCCATGACCAGGAAAGCCATCTGATTATAGATTGCAATTATGAATGGAAAGCAGCAAGGACTTTGCAATGATATCGATTTCATCAGAATACATTATGAAATTTAAACATGATGACCTTTAAAAGAAAATGTAAGAATCATTTTATTGCTCATTTTTATAACAAGCACACCCCAGATGAATAAGCTTGCAACCACTTCTACTAACAAAAACTCAGTAAAGGTTTACAAATCTTTCCTAATTGAAGAGAGAGTTTCACATTTTTGACATAATGATATTATATCATGGAACTTTAAAGTGTATTATTATTTTGGTTGTGAGCCTAGCCTTTAATGTTAGGCTGAGTCATTAAATTGGAAATGAAAACTTAGGAACTTGACTAAGAACTTCAGAGGCAATACTTATCAATGGAATACAAGAGATGGATGAGATAATCTCAGGCATCAAAGACAAGATTTAAAAAATGGATACTTAAGGAGGCCTTGGCAGTCTGTGGGACTTTGGAGAGTGGAGCAGTATTTATTTCTGGCACACAGAGGGACTCTGGGAGCCCATGCCACATGGAGGGATGCTCTCTCAGCCTGGACACATGGGGAAGAACCTGAGCCATTCCTGTGATGATGTGACAGACTCTGGAAATCCCTCATGGAGGCCCTTGCCCTCCCTGGGGAATGGAGGGGGGATAGAGTGGAGGTGAGGAGTTGGGAGGGTTGAGGGAACTGAATGTGACATGCATTAAAAAGTTAAATAAAAATATGGAAAAATGGATACTTAGTTAAGGAAAATATTAAATTTAAAAAAATCATGCTGCAAAATATCCAGGAAATTTGGAACATTATGAAAAACCAAATCTTTTAGAAATAGGAATAGAAGAAGGAGAAGAAACTCAGGTCAAAGGCCCAGAACATATTTTAAATAAAATCATAGAAGAAAACTTCCCTAACCTAAAAAAGGGCGTGCCTATCAAGATAGAGCAGGCAGACAGAACATCAAATAGACTGGGCCAGTAAACAAATTCCCTATGACACATAGTAATCAAAACATTGAGTATATAGAACAAGAAAGAATATTAAAAGCTGCAAGGGAAAAAGACCAATTAATATACAAAGGCACACCTATTAGATAACACCTGCCTGTTCAATCTCAAAGCCAGAAGGACCATGATGGACAATCTATAAACTCTAAGAGATCACAGATGCCAACCAAGACTACAATGCCCAGCAAAACTTTAAATCTCAATGGAAAAAGAAAACCATTCCATGACAAAGTGAAATTTAAACAGTATCTAACGACAAATCCATCTCTAGAATACAAGAGAAGGGAAACTTCAACCTGAAGAGGTTAACCATACCCAAGAAAACAAGAAATAAATAATCTCAGAGCAGCAAATCAAAGGAGGGGAAAAACCCATGCTACCATGTTGGGGGAAGTCCTGTGCATATGTCAATAAAGCACTGCTGGTCAATAGGGAATCAAGATATGTGGGACTAGGAGTCCAGAAGGACTCTGGGATGGAGAAACACAGGGAGTCAAGATGTAACGCCATGGGGTAGGAAGCCTGGAACTATTCTCCTGTAAGAGAAATACTTAGATGAACAATTATGGGGTAATTACTTAAGTCAGAGCTAGCCAGTAAGAAACAAGCAAGGCCAACTGCTTCATAATTAATATAGCCTCCTGTGTGTTTATTTGGGACTGATGCGTCTCTAGAACCAGGCTGGCGGGAAGGCTTCTCTCAAGGAAAAGGTTTCTCTTACAGGCTTCTCTAAAGGAAAAAGTTTCTCTTTACACTACCACAACCAAACAACAGGAATCAACATATTCTGCTCACTGATAATTCAATTCCCCCAACAAAAAGACACAGACTAATAGATTGGATATGAAAACTAGATCCCTTTGCTGCATCCAAGAAACTCCAAATGGATCAATGACCTCAACATAAGGCCAGATACAATGAATCTGATAGAAGCGAATCTGGGAAATAGTAGACCTCATTGGCACAGTAAAAGACTTTTGGAACAGAACACTGATAACACAGGCACTAAAAGCTGCAATTAATAAACAGGACCTCATGAAACTGTAGAACTTCTGCATGGCAGAAGAACCAAGTGGAAACGATTTTTTAACTAACTACACACCCGATAGAGGGGTGGTATCCAAAACACATAAAGAACTAAATAAAACTGGACATAAAGAAAACAAATAGGCCAATTAAAAGATAGCATACAGAGCTAGAAAGAATTCTCAAAAGAAGAAACTTAAATGGCTGAGAAGTACTTAAAGAAATGTCAAGTTATCCATCAGGGAAATGTACATCAAAACTATTCTGAGATTTCTTCTTAACACCAGTCAGACTAAAACAAGATCAATACAATAAATGACAGGCAATTATTGCAAGAATACAGAGTAACGAGAATGCTCACATATTGGTGGGGATTGCAGACTTGCACAGTCACTATGGAAATTAGTGTGGTGATTCCTCAGAAAGCTGGGGACAGATCTACCTCAAGATCCAGCTGTACCACTCTTGAGTATATACCCAAGAGATATGCCATCCTACTTCAGAGACACATGCTCAGCCTTGTTCATTGCTGCTCTATTCATAACAGTCATAAATTGGAAACAGCCTAGATATGTGTCAGTGGAAGAATAGGTACAGTAAATGTGTTGAATTACACAATAGACTATTAGAAATGAAATAATGAAGCCGGGTAGTGGTTGTACATGCCTTTAATCTCAGCACCTGGGAGGCAGAGACTATGACTAGAGGCTAGCCTTGCATACAGAGCTAGCTCCAGGACAACCAGAGCTGTTACACAGAGAAACCCTGCCCCCAAAGCACAAAAAGTAGAAATAATGAAATTTGCAGATAAAGGTATGGAGTTGGACTGAAAATCATCCTGAGTGAGGTAACCCAGATCCAGAAACACAAATATGACATGTATTCACTTATATTTGGATGTTAGCTGTTAAGTCTTCAACAGTAAGTAGGATACACTCCATGTAACTGAAGAAGTTAGGTGCAGAGTAAAGGACTAGGTGGGAGGGATGGATCTCCTTAAGAAAGGATAATAGAATAGACAGACACAGGGGAAGGGGACTAGAACAGGAGGATCAAATGGGGGAGAGGGTGGTGAAAGGGATTGAGGGAGGATATACAATGAGGGACAGGTAAAATTAAGAGAGGTCATATAGAAACTGAACACAGTAGAAGCCTCCTAAGATGTATACATATACGGAGGCCATCTGAATGAAATCACCAAATAATGGGGGAAATAGGGCCCCAACTGGACATCTCACCAAATGAAGCTTTTAGTACAGGGAATGGATTACATCTAATTGAATTGTTGGCCAAAGGGTACCCTGAGAACCCACCCAAAACCCCAGTCTGTTGTCAAAGCTAATGATTACTTTCTACAAACTGATGGTAAGACCCATTGTCGAAGACAGCACCTTCACAAGTCATTGAACACGGAGAAGTCAAGCTGGTGCTTACACAGAGCCTTTACCCACACCAATTAGTATTCACAGTACTGGAAGGTACTCTGCATGCTACTAAAGAAGAGGAAAGCAAACACCTACCCAGCTACACAACCCTTCGATCTACAACGATGACTGCCTGCCGAATATGCTAGCACAACAGTGGCGCCAGGCTTGTGGGAGTAACCAACAATTACATGGTTGGATTTAAAGCCTATTCTGTTAGATCAACCTATCTGTGACACTGCTCAGGTAGCCACTAACCAGAGACCAATTAAGCGAGTGACACAGGGGAAAACCAATCAGCAATGTTCTGCTGAAGGACCGTAGCAATGAAATGACTCCGACAGAGTCAGCTACACTCATAGGTCAGTTTCTTGCTCAACCACCATCAGAGAAGCTTCCTCCGGAAGTAGATGAGGACAAACGCAGAGATCGACAGCAAATACTGTGCAGCGAGTGGGAGATCTTGGAATATTCAGTCCTCGGTGGAATGGCTGTCTTTCCTCGGTGCTCAGGGAATCTTGCAGAAGAGGGGGCAGGAGGACTCTAGCGGCACAATGAATGCCCTTATGAACTCACAGGAACTGTGGCAACATGCGCAGGTCTTCACAGGTCTTCACCAGAGGGGGTTCCGGATCTGAGAGAAGTGGACCCAAGACGCTATCCCTAACTCAGAAGCTGTCTCCAATTGATAGTCACCTGCTAATGAAAATGGTTTTCCCCGATAGAGTCTCACGGGAATACAAGCCTTTCTCAAGGGCAGGCCCCACTCCAAGCAGTAGATAGCCAACACAAACAGAACCCAATGGCTTCTTCAGAGGTTCTTTGTCTCATAATGTTTAGTCAGGGCATTCATTTATTTATTTATTATTTCAATGTTTTGTTTATTTTTATTTTAGATTTTAAATTCTTCATTCTTTTATTTCATTTTGTCTTCCTTTCAGGTCCTTTGTGTATATATTATGACTTTTAGTTTTGTGCTCTAGTGGAATTCCTAAGTGTGAATGTGTGTATCTCTGTGTCTATATTTGTTTCTTGTGCTTATTCTTTGGTTCTTTGTCTTCATTTTCTTTAATTCTGATTTTTTTAAATCTTATTTTATTATTATTCTTTAAATGACCATCTGTTTTATAGAGACAGAAAGAGGATTGATTCGGATGGGAGGGGAGGTGGGAAGGATCTCAAAAGAGTTGAGGGAGGGGAAACTGTAATCAGTATATATGGTATGAAAAATATTTTAATAAAGGAAGAAAAATAAATTCTAGCGCCAAGACCAAGAATCATTTTCTAAATGAATCCTTGTTGATAATGACAGTTCACTTGCTGCAACTTGCACAATGTTACTTAAAGACGTTAGTAGACAATTTCCTCAAGCTTTGGTACCCTCAGTACAGTGGGCCCCTACCTCTTCTTTTCTCTCTGTGTAAATTATTCTAATCTTTCATCCAAGGCTGTGAGGGTTCTTTCTGGAAGGCACAGAAACCAGGCAGTTCTGCTGGGGTTCCACCGCAGTGTGCATTGTTTGCTTTCAGCCGTGAGTTCTATCCTCAGGGTTGAGCTCCAGCCTTGGTAGATCATCCATGTTTCTAATTCCTTTTTAAGGAAAAAACAACCCGTAATATTCCAATATGCCTAGCAGGAAATTTCTTTAATGATGATTTAAAAGATTTAAAATGTGAAGTTGACTTCAGATGCTTTGCACTCTTCATTAGTGTTGGTCTTCGCTTTTTAACCCCAAACTTTGGTCTAAGATTCCTCAGAGTTGTCCATTTCAGGAGTGGAATGAAGAATAATGGCTGAGACAGATGACAAGTTCTTAGGGGAAGACAAGGTGCATTTATCAGCCTGAAAAAAAAATCTCTTCAGGTTAGAAACCAGCTTCATCTTTCAGCTGTTCTTCGGACACTGTAGTTATCATACAGAAATTAAGTGCTGATTTTGGAATGAATGACTGGAGAGTGACGGGTACAGTCGCTCAAATGAAATGGCAATCATCTGCTCTCATCTATCCTCAAATAATATTTTTTTAAAGCAAGTATGGATTACTCGGCTTAAAACACACGGAGTCCTTCCACCTCCTCCATCAATGCACTCTGCCCCTGAAGATGCGAGGTAGGTGTGGTTTAATCATTGCTGCCACCCCCATTTTGGAGAAGACAGGCAAGTTCAGAGCTAAGCGCTTTGATCAGAGCCACAGACTGACAGACGAGAAAGGATCCAAACTGAGGTCCTCTGAGTCTCCCTGCCACACAGCGCTGTTTATGCCGTCTGTGCAACAGCTACACAACCACGGGCAGCTGTTTAAAACTGCAATGACCTATGTGGCGCCTCTGCCCCTCATTTTGTGACTCATTATCACTTCTTGTAATGCAGACAAAATTCCACAGTGCCAGGTCCCTGGACACAAAACAACAAATCAGTAATTCTTAAGAAAATTGGGTTTAAGAGGTGCCAAGTGCTTCCTTTGATATCAATTTGCATTTTTTTGTGTGTGACTCAGTTCACAAGCCCTTGCATCTGGAAAGCCAGTCTGGAATATTTCTGGAGAGCACTTAGCTCCCAGAAATCAACAGAATGACCCAGCTCCAGGATAATTGCAGGTTCAGATCTGTGGGACTACAGCTTCCAATAGATGTTGACCTTTAATTCACCGTTCCCAGATAGACTTCTAAATGGGAGTGTAATTACGTGAAATAAGCTTCAAGGTGGTATGAGAAGCTAAGGTTGTCGGGAAATATCATCTAGCAATTTGTAATTTCCTCTTAAGTATAGAGAATAGACTTGAAAAGATAGAGCCAGGCTTCAAGTCTTAAGAACAGGTCCAATCAGAGAAGAAACTGCAACTGTGGTTCCATCCAGCGTAAACCAGAGAGCCTGAAAACATTTCAGTGAACAACAGAAACCCTCACTTATGAGTGCTTCCCCATGAGATCCCCAACATGCTGTACTGAAGTTGTATATAATTTGTTCATAAAGGGCAACTGGGAGAAAGGTGTCAGTAACAAAAGACATGACAGCTTCCCCCTGTGGTCATTACTGTAAAGGAGATTCTGAAGGGTCACTTCCAGCTCAGAGTCACGCAGAGTGTGGATAACGTCAGAAAAAGAGAATCTTGAGATACCAGCATAAGGGACACCATCCATCTGTCTAGTAGTTGAAGGTAAATCTGGTAAGTGGATTTGTATCTAAGATTAAGAAAACTGTAAGATTCAGGGAAAACAACAACAAAAATCTAAGCCATAAAATCTCGTTTCTTTATTACAGTGCATAGAGCCTTAGAGATGGCATGTGAACTATAATGAGTCCATAGGTTGAACACAAAAGACATCGGACTACAAAAAGGAAGATGAATCACATAATAAGGAATTGGATGAAACAAAAGTGCAAGAAGGACACTAAAAATGTCCATCCGGTGATAGCGGACCGAGCTGCATGGACCAATTAGAGAGGCCTGACAGATATCAACACATGTTTGAAGGCACGGGACAGTTACTAACACAGAAGGGAAACAGTGTCTGAGACAGAAAAAGATCTTGCTTCTGGCACTGCTTCCCTGATTCTGAGCTGCAGTACGAAGGCTGAAAAAAAACAGACTAGAGCCTCTGGCCAGTTGGTAGGGTATGAAAACTGGAATTCAGAATTCAAAGCTCACCTTCCATTGGGCTTTAGATAAGGTTAGAAATAGCATTTTGGAATAAGCGTAGCTCAGATAGTTAGCATCCCTCCATAAGAGGCCTGATGACTAGTGTTTAAGCTACTATAGGTCACAGTCTCTATTGCAGCTATTCCGTTCTGTAGTAATAGCAGAAACCACACAGACAATATAGAAGCAGGTGAATATGGATGAGTGTCACAGTAGCATCAAATCTGCAAAACACAGGCCTGAGCCAGGAATTTTTCAGTAGAGATTGGGTGTCATGTCAAGGTCCAGACAAGACACTGGCGTGTGGGCGCCTGTCTCCTGAGCAGTGGAGCTGAGGATAAGAAGAGATTCAGTGAATGTGTGGTGCAGGGTGGGATTGATTACTCCATGTGTGGTCAGCATGATAAAGGACGCTTTGGGGAGTCACAGATGTCCAACTTCTTGTTCCTGGAACCTGTGCAAATGCTGTTACATGGCAAAGGGAAGTTAAGATTGCTGCTCATCTGGCCTCAAAATATGATTGGAGTGAATTATATGGGTGCATATAGTGAATCACAAGAATATGTGAAAGTTGAAAAAAGTGGGAAGAAGCCCAGAGTTAAGGAACGAGATGATGACTATGGAAGCCCGACTGAATTATGCCATGGGAGAAAACCTGTCTTGGGCATTGCTGATGCACTGTGAATGTGTGCACAATACTCTCATTGGTTAATAAAGGGTTGATTGGCTTACAGTTGGTCAGGAAGAGATTGAACAAGAAAGGCAGACTAGAAGGACACCGGGAAGAAGGGCAGAGTCTCAGGAGTCACCAGCCAGATGCAGCAGAAGCAGAACGTGTGCAAAATGAGGTTACAAGCCGTGAGCCACGTGGCAGAAAGTGAATAAATAGAAATGGGTTAATTTAAGTTGAAAGAGCTAGTTAAAAACAAATCTAAGCTATCAGCTGAGGATCCAAAGTTAATAATAAGTTTTGGTGTGGTTATTTGGGAACTGGCGGTCCTGACAAAAACCTCCACCTACAGCCACAAGAGAAGAAATGCAAGAATCTTCTCCTATTTGAAAAGTGAGAATTATTGGCTCCCAAAATCTCCAGAGAAGAATACAGCCTTGGTCTACTCCATGGGAGCCATTTTAGACTCTGACCTTCAGGTTTTTAACAATAAACATTGTTGTTGTAAGTCATCAATTCGTGACAATTTGTTGCAGCTGTTGCAGTAAACTAATATTCCTCTCCTACCTGGGGATGGGTAGATAGTTTGAATAGGATGCACAGAGCCTTGTGACCTGGGGTGAGGAGAAATGTAGAGCTGGAACATCTCCGCAGGTCGTGCTTTGCAGCTTAGTTATGCAAACTGACAAGGTATCAGTGTATGAAGTTTTATGTTCTAGGAATTAGGAACAGATTATCTGACATTCATAACTCTTTATGATTTAATGTTTCTTTATACTTAACAAATTAATGATCTATTCATTTGTTTCTGCACCCCAGTTATTCCCATCTGACTGTTCATATGGTGACATAAAGTTACAAATGAACACTACGAATATTGCTTCTTAAGACACAAGTTTATCTGTATGACCTGAAGCTGATTAAACCTCATTACCTACATGTTCATGAGGCAGCAGTGTGACAGAACCTTACCGTTGTAGGCACAGTGGAAGATAAGAAAAGGTGGGAGAGACAAACAAGTCATTGGCTGTAGCAAAGAATCACTTCTGGCTGTCCAGGGGTGCCTCGAAGGCTACCATGAGACTCAGGGGCATTTGGCTCAAAAGAATAGTGTATAAAACGGGATGCATCCTTTGACCTTTGAATAACCACATACAAACAGTACATACATGCATGTGCATGTCACAATAATAGTTAAAGAAGAAACCATGAATT